GGTAAAGAAGGGCTGCAATCACCCATAGCAAAGGGCCTACTTGCCCTGATCTGCCAATGTAGACCATTTGGGGAGAGGCTTGCTCCTTCTTACAGAGAAATCCAAAGAGTGTTGTAACTCCAACTGCCCAACTTCTAGGGCCCAGAAAGATTATTCTGCCTTTTGATTCTAAAATACAACAAGCAAAAAATAACACCTAACTATTCACTGACAAGTTAATACAGGGGTATTAACTAAAGAGTTCCTATTTGGCTTGAAAACCAAGGGTTAATCTCAAATGAACTTGGTAGGGACATTTCTATAACTGGATTTAAAAGGCAATTATTCCTTTCACCTTTCTTGGCAACTGCCATATTTTTCTACCTCTGTGTATAAATCATATATGCATATTTTCTTCTAGTGACTAATATTTAAAAACATACTTATCAATTGTCTGCTCTTTTCCACACATTCAGGAAGCCTTCTCCCCCCAATATGTGCAAATAAAACATAGAACATCCTCTCTGCTTTATTTTGCATGATCAACAGTCCCCAAAACAATGCACAGATGGGAAATCATTTCCAGTTACTTATATTCACATATGCACATATTATATGTAAATATGTGTCATTATTACTTGTGGTAAATTGTTACCTACTGGCCTGGAAGTACAAAATTATTTTTCCTCCCAAAGGAATGTCTAGCTGACCCTCAAGTAATCTATCACAAAGGATTCAAGCAAATTTTAGCATCTAAAAGCAGTTACAAGGTCTCCTAATTTTCATTATTTTATCCCAACACCACACAGTTGAGCACCTGATGTCTTTTATTTTTATAGTATGATGATAACAGAGAAATTGTTCAAACACTCAGTAAACATTTCAGATACATATGGATAAAGAAACATTCACTACACTCGAGGGGACTCATAGTCTGAGTAGAAAAACAGGCCTCAAAACAAATAATGAAAATGACAACAAGCACATAACATGGAAGTGCAGTGTGAACATGATACATGCAACTTTATTATAACACTGGAGAGCTCAACCTGGGAGGGGAAGTGGAATGCCGGTATATTTCCTAGAGAAACTGACAACAAAGCTGACTCTTAAAGAATAATTAAATGGACAAGATAGAGTGAATGCAGAAGTTTGAGATCCTAGATCACTGGCTAAGTACAATTTGGATAATTAACCACCACCTACCTTAGACCCAATATCGTTTTGATTAATATCAGGACAAAGTAATTATAGGATGTAGTACTTGCCTAAATGATAACACACAATCTATTTAGGGAGGTAAATTGTATATCCAAAACAAACTGCTAATAGTACATGGTAAAGTATAGACTATAACATGTAGACAATGCATCTCTTTGTTCATTCAACAGATATTTATTGTCTATCTGCTATGGACTATATACTGCTTAAGGCCCTGGGCATATGGCAACAGACAAACACACAAGGTCACTGGTCTCATGGAGGTCACATTCTAGTGGATATTAATATAGGTTAATATCTGTAAACATGAATTGTAAAAAGATCATCATAATTCTCTGAAACAAATAGAGGATGTTAGTCAAAAAATGCTGTCAATAGAAACATTTAGCCAAGTGTTTCAAGTAAAAATTTTTCATCCTTTAGAATATTCTGGATGGCAATTCAGAACACATTTTCTACTAATAATCATCAGCTCATCAATTTTAGCTAGTGTAAAATATTTACAGTAGATAGACCTCTGTTGTCTGTTACAGGGCACGTTTTTTGACTCTATTTATACTTTCAACAACAACAAAAAGACATCATTTGGCAAAGGCAAAAGACTTTCTAAGCATTGCCTCAATTTAGAATTTATATGATTAAATCTGAGTATTTAAATATACATATTTTTGAATTTCTGGGATACAGGAGAAAGAAAATATTAACTCAAGAAGCACGGGATGTAAAGTAGACATTAAACACTAGACATTTCTCTGTTATAGAAAGGTAGAAAGGAATCACAAGAAAGTGGCAAAGACACAAAAGCCATTTGTATTTCTTGTTATTATCCCAAGACCTGGTCCCTCTCAGGTATTGGGTTTGATTTACTAATAATTCTGAAAAGAACTATATGATTGAAGAGAGTCAAATGCAGACATACAGCCTAGGTGTTCTACCTAATTAAATGGTGATTTTTGAGCATATTATTAATATTGCTCTTCCCCATCTGATAAGTGAGAATAATGCTCTCAACCTAACTCACAATTGGTGTTAATTCACAGGTTACTATGCAAAGTTGATCTCCTTGAATGAAATCCATCATATCAAAAGATAAGTTCCATAATAATTTCAACACTTACGGTGGCCAACACATCATCTGCTCCTTTGCACACCTTACTTCTCATCTTATTTAGTTGCAAGACCAGAAAAGTTGAGAAATGAGATTTGAGAGTGTAAATCTCATAAGGTGACTTTTAGTGAAGTCAGTGTGTTGTGAAGAATATCTGTTAACGAATCCAGTTTACCAAACTTCATGGAAGGTATCAGATTAACATAAACTATCATCTAGCAGCATCTAGCATTGATAACACACATCCGGCATCAAAAACTTTCCTGATAATGATGCCATGAACTGCATAATAATCACCATGCTTTGATTAATTATTTTGCTGAATGGATGAATTAATTGCATTTACACTGATAGCCTCAGTTTCTGCAGTGCATTGCTTTTTATCCTAACACAACTATTCAGAATTAAAATAGAAGTAGTACAATTTGCAGCAGTAAGCATACCAAATAGTTACAGTAAAAAGATTTCCATTTGAATTATCAAAATAAATACATTACAAGAAATTTAGAACCTAAAGTAAAAAAAAAAACCTCTAATTAAAGGAAACTTGGGAGAGCTTTTTAGCAAGTTCTTTGCTGAAAGAATCTATTTGGTTTCTTGATCCTCCTACCAATCGCATTAACAATGACAAAAGATATGCAAATTTAAACAGACAATAGTCAAGCCAAACTGCTCTGACTCAAACCAACAGGGACATTTTCAGCATATAATCAGCTAGAATCACGTTATCAAGGGTCAATGTAACCAAAGAACATTTGCATAGTTATGCTTGGCTATAATCTGAAAACTATGCCATAATCATTGACCAAGAACAATGTAAACAAAAATCAAATTTATTTCACACAATAAATTAACATATGAAACATGTGCATGACATAAGCCCAACAGAATCATGTATTTACCCTATCACTGCTGAATAATTGCATAGCAACAAAAAAATTTGCATTACTATGCTTGAGTCACAATTTTAACTGTATGTTTTAAGTAAACAAAATATTACATTTTTGGTAGAATAGCTCACTCAGGACAATTTGGGACTAAATTTCCCTCCCCAGCCCCTTCAAAGAACTCAGACTAATTTACGATTGAAATCTCATTAAAAACTATATGGATGGTATATTGAGAAGAGTAAAAAACTGTTTAACCAAATTAATTTGTTTACTGTGAAAATAAATTTTGCCAAAGAAAAAACATATCCTATTATAAACTGCTGCTATAATTAGTGCCTGAAATTTAAAGTATAATTATCAAATGGCTTCAGGATTCTGTTTGCTTTCTATTCTTCTGCCCCTATTGATCTTTTTCACCTGTAGTCTACAATAGCAAGATTAACTACAATTCCAGGTTTAGAAACTCTGAATCTATGGAGTTTCAGTTAACTTGTCAAATAAAATATCAGTGATCTTAGTTCAGTCCCTAGCGGACAAAAGTAGAATAACTGTTACTTGGCATGATTGAGCAGGCAGTGTTGGAAGTGAGCGTGACAACACAGGGGGGAAAAAATAGAGCATTTGTCCTCTCCTTATCTTCTTAAAGGGTTTGCTCTGTTAACAGACTAACTTAAAGGAGACTGGACTGACTACGTTCCTACCTATATGCACCAAATGGATTTTTAGCAAAGATCCGTGGGAGAGAAGAATTTTCACAAATGTGACATTGCCACTCTTCCACAGACGTAGTTGAATACATTTATCTGCTGTTTACCTGTTACTCAACTAAACAGAGAGCAAAGAAAGAAGGAACTGCAGAAAGTGTGTTCATAATTTAATAGACATTTTCAACAAAAACTTTTAAATGATTTATAGAGAAAAACTGAATAAAATGCTCATTTTGATTTTTATAAATGGGTTTTAACTGCATACTCAACATTAACATTCATCTGGATACTTAAGACTCCCACATGACATTGTTGGTGACTACAATGTCCTGAAAAAGGAGGTATTTCAGGAAGATAGCAAAGCCCATGTTGTGCTCAGCTCAAATCTGCAGGTGCATGTCTTTGGCAACAGCAACCACCAGCTCAATCTCTCCTTCCACACCGGGCAAACAACCTCTTCCTGAAGAGTTCACATTAAAATTTACCTTCCTGATTTTTTTTTTCTCAAGGACGGAAAAAATATGACAGGAATCTGTCCTCCGCTATTCTGCTACTTGCTAAAATTAAGTTGCCTTTATATACATACACAATTTCTCCAAATATCATACTTTATATATACTCCATTTCATATTAACTGTACTAGAGGTTGAAAAAATAAGTATTTGGTGATGATTTCTCACCCTAGCTGCAGAAAATTTCCTGGTGTAAAATCTATCTGATCCTAAATTAGTATTGTCATTATTTTCTTTTTTCACCAATGGTCTCAAGACATACGTGCTTTTCTTTTTTAAGTTGGGCTTTGACAGTCAGAAAAATCAAGCTCCATTTTAAATAAGAGGAAACCAAAAATATCATAAAATGTGCCACTGCTAGGCACTTATTTAATGGGTTGCCACCATACCTTCAGAGGCTTGCACAAGCCTGAAAACCTTGGCTCACCCCTGAAGTCACAGAGAGAGAACAGTCTTGGATTTGCAAACACTGCCCCCAGGAGCAAAAGGTAAACACACAAATGCCCCCCTAAGGAACTCTAAGTCAGCTGCAGTGCAAGCATGGAAAAGGCTCTGCAATTAGAAACTGAAAGCAATCACTTACTTTTTGCAGCCACTGAGTATAATTTTCCATCACATGCTCCAGATGTTGAAGTTTCTGGGAAGAGAAATCCGGTTCCACGTGTGGAGCATCTCTCTGCAGAGCATTTGTGTTGTACTGGTCTGTCGTACTCTCACGACAGTTCCCGTCGTGTTCTGGAAGAATGAAAGTGTAGGCACACTGCCCATGTTGAATCCGGTTATATCTTCTCCCACCGTTTTCTGGACCTCGGCGCTGGTTGCTGCACCCTATGTGAGTCAGAATGGCAGCGAGGAAAGCAAAGGAAAGGAAAACTGTCATTGTACTGCCAGCAATCTCTTTCCGTGCCTCTCGCAAAACTTGCTCCTTTCTTCTGACCTTTAAACTAGTTTTTATTTTAGGTAAAACTGCTTGTTTGTTTGACTTTTTCCCCCTCAAAGAAAGCTTTTGAAGAAGAATCACAGAAAACTAGCCATTTGTTAGCTTTGTTCTAAAATGTTATTTTTTTTATTTCACTGTAATGGTAGTTTCCTTAGTTAAAACTTGAGATATTTATTGCATAGTAGCTGAGATTTATTGTTTCCTCTCTGTGTAACCGTTCAGCGTGGAGCCTGCCTGAGTCAGCTGCGTGTACATATTCTAGACCCTTTCCCCTACCCTATCTGCAGCAGATCTGCTATTTTCTCCCAGACCTCAGTGAGTTTTATTAAGGTTGCACATCCAAGCCAAGCTGGAAGCAGGCAGCCTTTCACAAGATGACTTGACAGGAATGCATGAGTGTGCCCCTATGCTAAGGATTGCTGAAGGCTTGAGCAGAGGATCGTCTTACAAATTGGCTAGATGCGCATGACCTCGATCATGTATGGCCCTCCCGCCCCTTCCGCAGACAATTGCCTCCAGCCTTTAGTAAATTCAGGGCAAATCAATAAATAGAGCAGTCCACCTTAATACACTTTTGCTGTGCATGCTGACCTACTAAAACCTAGCAAACTAGCAGTATGTTTTTAAAGTTACTATTTAATTGGGGAACTCTAAGAAGAAATTGGCATGGTGTCCAGTAAAATAATTTTTGATAGTGAATGATAAATCTGTATAAATATTAATTTTTAAAAAAATTATTCTTGACTCTGGGAAAAAGATATTAAAAACCATTTTTAGAGATGGTATTCTCTCACTCATCATATTCACTTAGACTTTAAGGAGTTGGAGAAAATTGTCAGGGAGGGTCAAATTAGCAAAAAAAAAAAGTCACAACTTGTCACTCAAAGGAATATAGACAGCATGTGCATATTAAGCAGAATAAGCTAAGTACTTTCTGAGATAAGGATTTTAAATGAAACTGGTCCCCTTATCAGAATATAGCTCTCTGTGCTCTATGTATATAAATTGAGCAACTTACAAAAACAGTGTGGTTACAATTTAAGACAGTGGCCAGAGAATTATTAATTCCTGTGGTACATCCTAATCATAGATTTCACAAGGACCTCTTTGGTGTTGCTATGGCTGTCTTTAACTCTGCTAAGGAAGTTCCCCACAAAGTCTCCTGTGGCTGCACAAGAAAATTATCTGAGAATAAACATACATCAGGTGTGTCAATGGGCCAGCAAAGAGCTGTACGGGAGAAATCACTGCTTCTATTAAATAAGAAACAAAAATTATCGGAAGGTAATTTCCCACATGTAGGGTGTAAACATTTGAACAAAAGGTTCAGTAAAACATAAAGAATAGGTGATAATTATAGAATTAAGGTTATGGCACTGAAATCTTTACTAAGTATGTGCAGAAAACATGAATTATGAGCAGAGGCTTTCATCAAGAACTGGGAGGGATTTTCAGAAATGGAGCTTCTCAACTGCAGTCATGATATAAAAACAGAAGTCACAGATGTTGACTCTTGTGTCCTTGGGGTACAGGTCAGTGGGTAAAGGGCAATAAGGTTAGAGATTGGTGTGTAGGGAAATGTTAGAGGAGAGGGCAAAACAAATTCCAGAAAAAAATGTGATTTCCTTGGGACAAAAAAATTGTTCCGAAATTTATCAGTCTTTTCCATACCAAATAGCAAATTTCTGATCTGACAGAAATGGAAGCAAATAATACCAAACATAGCAATAAAGTCCTTGAACTGTCTCTGCAGCTTCCTCCTGTTGGCTGACTTGTCACTCATGTGCAATAAAAATAATGGCATTTATTAAGGGCTTAATATTTTCCAGGTCTGTGCACATATTCCTTGCACATGATCTCATTTAATTATTCCAATGAACCCGAAACATGGATAATATGTTTAATCCCATTTTATTGATGGGAAAACTGAGTCACAGAAAGGCTTAGTGGTCACAATTCACATAGCTAGCTAGGAATGGTGCCAATGTGTAAACTCTGGCCAGCTGATTCCAAGCCTGTCCTTTTAACCTCCAAACCAGCCAAAAGGCTCCCAAAAGGGCTCCAGCTGCACGGATTCACAGTCCTAGAGCAGACTAAGTAATGACATTGAGAAGTAAAACAACTGATTAAAAGCCAGTTTATACCACCCAAGTGATTCAATCTGTCTTCTGTACCCAAAAAACAAACAGGAGTGACAGGTAACCCATGCAATAGAGTTTTTAAAGGCCTACAAGGATGAAGTAAACTGGCAAAGCACAGATTGTCTAAGAACATTTTCCAACATTGCTTGCTTTGAAAATTATTCCTGGAAAGAAGAGTCTAAAACCAACACCTTAAGTGATTCGTTAAAAACTAAATATAGCTGAAAATCAGCAGAAGACACAAAAGTAGTGAGGTTTCTATTAAAGTGTTTCTGTGTTTTATAACAGCCAAGATTTAAAAATCTGTTTCTCTGTGTGGGGTGTGTGTGTGTGTGTGTGTGTGTGTGTGTGTGTGTGAATCTACATGTGCTTTTTCATATACTTTTCCAATCTGAACAAATGAAATGAAGGAATTCACAATTTCCTGAGGGAAAAGTAGACAACTAAAAAAGGAAACCTGAAATACAAGTACTGAAAAAGGGGGAGGGGACAGAGAGACAGTAAAAGGAACTGATTTATTTCTTTTCCAGAAAAACAAAGAAACAAAAAAACATGACACTGAAAGTACTAATGTCAATCTGGAAAAAAAGTCTCAAGATGAATTTTAAGCAGCTGGAAAACACAGGGACATGTACAATGAACTCATATGTTTTAGGACTTCAGCTGAGGAGACACTGGGTGTATCTGAGGCTCCTCGTGACATGCTAAAGAGCATAAGCTTCCAAGGACCTGAACCTAACCAACAGCAATACGGTGGGTCATTGTTGCTGACTATTCAGAAATGGTGCAGGTTAGGAGACTTCAGAATTTAGGAAGGAGTGTGAAACACAGGCCATATTTAAAAAAAAAAAAAAAATTCCTCTGCCACACCTCCAAAAAGGTAAAAAATATATATATATATTCTAAAGAACTAAGTAATTGTATTTAGTTGAATACTGAGGCAGCTTGATCTTGAAAGCTCTGTATCTTTGTTTTTTGGGTTTTTTTTTTTTTTGCATTACTAGAGCTCTGGAATAGGGAGGTTTATGCTTTAAGTGTCTGATCTCTTATCTACAATAATCCTAGTAAACATTAGCCTCATCCAGAAATTTCCAGTGAGACAGGGAACACCATTTATATGGGAACCTGATGGCCCTAAATCTCTCCTAACAACTAGTCTTTGTTACTTCTTTTGTGAAGCTTTCTTAATTTCTCCAGGCCCAATAAGTGACTCTCTCTGATGTGTTTCAATAACCTTCTTTTCATATCTCCATAATGGTACTTCTCACACTGCTTTTCTAATTATTTCTTTTTTGGTCTATCTCCCCCTCTAGCTGTGAACTCATAAAGTAATCTGCTCTTTCATCACTGATTTCCCAGCACTTACTATGCACTTTGGTTGAAGGAATGAGAGAACAAATGAATGAGTGAATGAGCTAATTGAATTACTTAGTATCTGACCACTATATAACTGGCCACATCTGTTGCATTTTGGCGGGTGAGTCTGCCTAGAATCGGGGTGAAACAAAATTTATTCTAAAGAATGAGTTAGATATAAGAACATGGTACAATAATAATGCATAACATTTTCTAACCCAAAACAAATTAATTTCCTCATTTAACATTTACAGCACCCCCATAATTGTGTATCATTTCTATTTTGCAGATGAGAAAAATTGTGGCACATAGAGGTGAACTACCCAAGATCGATGATCTCTTATGTAGCAGAACAGGAATTTGATCCTCAATCCATCTAAATCTGGGGCCCACATTCTTATCCCACTGAGCTATAATGCCTCCAGCAATACCTCAGTATTAGGAAATAGGGAGAAAGCATTTCTTAAATTTAGGGGACAGGAACAACATGGCATCTATAACTAAGATGGGTTTTCTCCTCCTCTCAACCATGGCCTTCATGGATTCATGTTATGATCTTTTAAAACAGAGCTAATGTTAAGCAAAGATGCACCAGTATGGTTTTCCCATCTACTAACAAACATCCAATCTGATTGTTCGGGTTATACTTAGAATGAATTCTCTATGTTTAGTCCTGTACCATATCACCTGTTATATATATTGCTCTAAAATAACAATAAATAATATAAAATAGAGTTTATTCCTCAAAAACACCATCAAGTACTCCTCTAGTATTCATATAGACCCCCTATAATGACAAAGGGACAAGAAAGCATTCTCCTCCCTTGTATACTGAACACAAGGTCATTCAGCACATATTCTGTAGATATATTCTTGAAACACATTCTATATTCTAAGGGCACCATTTTTTTTTTTTTTAAAGATTTTATTTATTTGACAGAGAGAGACACAGTGAGAGTGGGAACACAAGCAGGGGGAGTGGGAGAGGGAGAAGCAGGCTTCCCACTGAGCAGGGAGCCCGATGCGGGGCTCGATCCCAGGACCCTGGAACCATGACCTGAGCCGAAGGCAGACGCTTAACGACTGAGCCACTCAGGTGCCCCTAAGGGCACCATTTTTGATGGCTCTGCTCTGGCAATTTCAGGGTTCAAGAATATCAGCAAGGCTATGGCAGTGGTAGCTATGTCTAAAAGGAAGCACTTGGCTATAATTCCTGCAGGCAGAGCCAAGACCCCTTCACTCAACTATGTAGGCATCAAAGGTATCCACAACAGATGGAAATACCACACAGTGCTAAAACAGAAAAACAAGAAGATGGAGGATATCACCTGGTGACTGACGGCACTTCGTGAGTACATGGGAAATATCCATTGGTAACTCTCAAATGAATTGGAAAGACTACAAAGAGGTAGACACTGCAGTGGGCGGGGTGAGGAAGACACTGCAGTGAGCAGAGAAATGTATGCAGGTGAAGAACATAAAAATTATTATGTAAATAGTCCCCTGCCTTCTGATGAGAGAAATTTCTGGTAATTGGTGGATGTCTTGCTATCTAAGTCAGTTTTTAATTGTAGCTATCTATAAGTTGGAAAGGGCTCAGACAGAATTAATTTGTTCCACATAAGAAAGTAGAAAAGGGACTAAAGGGAAAATCTGGAAATGGAAGATGAGCTAGAGAGATGTGTGGAGAAGAGTTAGAAGAGAAAAGAAACTTGTGGCTGTGTGGCTGAGAGAAACTCAGGAAGATATAGTGAGTACAGAGGTCTGCAGTGAAATGGTGTTTCCTGTGAGATAAGATCCCTCTTTTTCAGCAAAACACATGCTTTTGGGCAAGTGACTTCTTTAGCATGAATGAGAAGAATCATTGGTCCTTGCTCCATATATGGAGCTAATATCTGAGTTATACTATTAATGTGAACACTATATATATTTCATTTTGGTATCTCACACTAGATTAGAGCCTCCCCAGAGCTGGGACTGCATCTGTCTTATGGATCATTCTATCCCCTTTTACTGGCACAGAGGAAGCAACTGATAAATATTTGTGATCCAGCTGACTGTCTGTCTGACTCATTCACTTTAATTCCCAATGATGAGATCTGAAGACATAGAAGCATCCCCCTCCCTTGCAGGTTCTCTTGCCTAGGTTCCAAGACCTCACTTTCTGGAGAGTATATGGGAGATCAGGATCCATATATTTCAAAGCAAATCCTAGAAATCTCAGTGGAATAGTACCCAACAGTCCCAGTCACCCAGGGACATAGTTGTAGAACCATTCAAGAAATATTATAGAAATACCCCCCAGTGTAAGGTTACTTGTTAATTCTACAACAGAGATAACTTCTACAAGTACCCAAGTCATAAAAGAAAACAAACAGCTGGAGATTGTAACAAGTAGAAATACAGATGCCAACATTCCCCTCATACCAGAATGGAGAAAGATTTCCAGTGGAGACCCAGTGAGATGAGATTTTATTATGGGAAAAAGCATATAAACCACTTTGCATTTATTAACTGTCTCCTTTCTTCTCTTTTTCCCTATAGAAGTCTTGATTCCTACATGAGAGAAAAATGCAAAGGTCTCTCTGTCTCAGCTTTACAACTTCAGAAAGAACATGTATTTTATATCTTCTCAGAAACTCAGAAAGAACATGATTGGAAAGGAATGGCTAGAATCATCATGTGATGAATCATGTACCCAATGGCACATGGATGGTGACTAATCCTTGTAGCCAAAGCTGATAAATGACCTCCACTGAGCAGTGACTAGAAAATACAGGACCTTCTGTGATTCTTTTTGTGATTAGAGAGTTGTGACAACCTCTGCTCATCAGACGTTGGATGAACTGTTCAGTAGTGGTTAAGGTGGGAGGCAAATTGCTTTCTCTTTGTTTTTGCTTATTTCTTGTTTATGTTATTAAACAAAATTGAATTACACTGGGTAAGATATTTAATTATTCTAAGATTAGTTTCCTTATCCCTAAAATGAGAATGATAATACAGTATCACTTTTATAAGTGGGGGTGCGAAGATTAAATATAATAATGGATATAAGGTACTGAACACAATATCTAGAGCATATCAAGTACTCTGAATGTTAGTTCTTATTTCTAAATTTAAGCTCTCTTCCTTGTGTTCAAAAATGATCCTACTTTTAAATCTATTTTTTGAGTTTTATGACAACATTGACCTAACTCCATTCCCTATCATTTTATCCTCTCAATTGTTTAAAATCACTTCTGAATCTCTTAAAAATCACATTTAAGTGACTAATATGGGACACTGACCACATTCACAATGATAGTTCACATAAACACCTCTGGTTTCCTTGAGGGCAGGGACGAATGTTTTCTTCCTCATGGCTGCATCCTCAGCACTTGGAACAGTGAGTGGCTGACACATACAAGGTGTTCAATAAATATTTGTTGAATGAATGAAAGAAGTTGGAAACAATTTAGTAAGAATATTCTATTCCACAGAGACATCTAGTAGGGCAAACCAACATATAAACCAGTCATACTTGGTAGTGTGATATGGATTTTATTCCCTAGGAACCATGGGAGAAATGTGGATGCCATTTATGGCTTCATCACTATGACTTGTTATCACGCTCATTTCCGGCCAATTCAACTAGATAACCTTATTTTCAAGAGCTTCTTTTATGACTAGACTTGTGGCATATATCACCCCATTCTGTTTCCTAGGATGAGGAGATAAAGTGGCAAGTGTTTGCCTCTGATAAAATGAAAAAGAATTGAAACACTCTACTATTAATCTTATAAGAAATATACAGCTTGGCACGACTTGTACATTAGCAAAGGAAATCTTATTTTATCTATTTTTTCTCCAATACTAATTTTGCTTCCACTTAGGCTCTAATGAGATTAGGAATTTGGCAATTAAATTAGAAAATAAATTCCAGTGGTATAAAAACTTGTGAAAATATAATGGCTTAACCAGGCTTTTAGTTCACAAGTTGACAGGCAAAGACCAGTCCTTTCAATGTTAACCTTAAATGAAGTACCCATTAAATCTGAAAAGCTTATATTTTTTTTTCATTGAACTTGTACGTGGTTCTTTCTTCTTTATCCTCCTCTTATAGTTAGTACAAATCTTTAAAAGGAAGAATTGTGGCAAATAAAGAAAGGCTAGAAGACCAGCATAAATGACTGAAAAAAATCAGAAAAGATTGTGATAACCATTTCATTCTCTATAGTTAAATTTTCTTTTTATTGTGATATATGAAGATGGATCATGTTTAACTCCAGAGGCATAAAACAGCCTGTATATTTTACAAAATGTTTCCCAAATTTGTATCACATTCACCCTCAGTGTATGTATCAAAACTGCACACATGCCCCTTGTACTACTGTTTACCTACTAGTTTCCTTAACTCAAATTTTAAGCTTTCTTTGTATCTGAGATTTACCTTAAGTAAGAATATCTGGAAAACCAATCACATGTGCTTTTTCCTAATGTATATTATGATGAACACAGAATATTAAATAGAATATCTGTCCACAAACTACCCACCACATATTTCATGTCCTCAGTGGAATGTGTACCACACTTGGGGAAACATGACTTAGTGTTATCTACAGTAGGGTACTTTCTCTTTGCAAAATGAATGAAAAATAATACCTCCTGTCAACATATCTGTGGAAAAGACTAGCTGCTGCAGTCCCTCAAGATCAGTCTGCATCATGCCCAGAGTGTTTGGGGATTGCTCCCATTCTGCAGTCAAATCAGAAATACAAAAAAGCTTTTGAAACAGACGCTTCTGTACTTATGCTGCCAGAGAGCACATAAAGAACTTCCCTCCATCTCAACCTGGAAGTCACAGGGAAGGATGGGCAGCAGCCCAAATTGTAACACTGTCCTGATGGCCTGGAATTGAGACTAATGATTGACCAGGAATTTCCACAGCTCTTCTCTTGATTCTGGCAAGGGAAAAAATAGTGAGGTTATTTAGTGTCCGAAGAGTAAATCTTCACTCCTTTTTCGTCTTGTTTTTGGATGAGTGTTGGGGAAACAGTAAACAAATTTCTCCTCAGGAATTGCATTCCCCCTTGAAGAATTTACATTCCTTCCTGACATCCCTCAAAGAGCCATAAAAACACATCAGTTCAAAAGAGGGAAAGGAGAGTTAATATTTAAAGGAGCAGTTAAGAATCAATTACTCTCAGTTTAATAATAGCTAACATTTGAGTACCTATGATATGGCCAGGACTGTGCTAATCATTGTACCTGCATTATCTGTTCTGTTAGAATCACAATAACTCAATATGCAGGAACTTTTATTACCATAATTTTACAGAAGAAATAAAAAACTCAGAAACCTCAAGCAGGACTCAATCCCAGGGTTTTCTGATTCCAGAGGTGAAGCTTTTAACAATTACATATATACAAGCCCTCCATAAGTCCTTTGAAGAGGACTTGCTCATTTGGATTCCCAGAATTAATTATCTACCTGATTTTTCACATACCTTTCCCTATTTATTAAACCAGTAAGAAGCATAGAACCTGATAGCCAATTACACCAAAGGAAAGTTGTAATAGTTGAGAATGAGAGCTATCGATAGAAGTTAACAATTACAGTATATTTACTGTATGTCAATCACTTTACATACATTATCAAATTTAAATAAGCATATCATACCCATTTCACAGATGAAGAAACTGAAGCTTTAGAAAATAAGAAACTTGACCCAGGTTATATAGAAGTGGCATTTTAACCAGGCCATCTGATTTTAGGACCCAATCATCTTTTTTAATTTTTTTTTAAAGATTTTATTTATTTATTTGTCAGAGAGAGACAGCAGGAGAGGGAACACAAGCAGGGGGAGTGGGAGAGGGAGAAGCAAGCTTCCCGCTGAGCAGGGAGTCTGATGCGGCGCTTGATCCCAGGACCTGGGATCATGACCTGAGCTGAAGGCAGACGCTTAGCGACTGAGCCACCCAGGGGCCCCAGGACCCAGTCATCTTAATACACTAAAAAAATTGTCTAAAATAAGTGGGAAAAAAACCCCAAAACATTTACAAGGTATTTATATGGAGGAGGTTAGCCAGTTATATTCTCATCTTCACTGAGTGAAAAAGACAAGACTAGTTCATTGTCCTCAAAGTTGTATCCCAGGCTGGCAGCATCAGCATCACCAGCAATCTTGCTCATAATGCAAAATCCCAGGTCCCACCCAGAACTACTGAATCAGAAACCAGAGTACGGGAGCCAGCTTCTTTTTAACAAGTCTCACAGATACTCTGATGCTCAACCTTTTGAGAACCACTTGTCTGATTCATTAATTCCTTGGCCTAGCAGAACCTTAGGATCACTTGAGGACTTGAGGACTTTACATAAATAAGATGCTTGGGCTTGTCTCTAGAGATTCTAATTCAGTTATCTGGGGTGCAACATAGACAAGGACTGTTTAAAAAAAAAATGTTAACAGGTGGTACTAAAGTATAGCTATGGTTGAGAACCAATGGCTTAACTGAAAGAGCTAAGCAAGAAGAAATGCTGTGAAAAGAGCTAGATTAGTTCTAGACAAAGAAATAAATAGTAAACTTACTTAGATATGCCTAAAAACATTTCTGGAGAGTTATTTAATTCTAGGATTATAAAACAATGACCTTGGTGCTATCAAGTGCTGTATGTTTAATTTCTGGAGCATTTAAGAACACAGAGATGATCACAGATTAAATAAACCAGACTCAAGAGATTAAGTATCTCCATGGTTCATATTGTTTTGCTGTTGTTGAAGTAATTTATCTCTTAAATTTCTATTTTTAAAGCATTTAAGGAATAAAATATTTATGGCTTTATCACTCATGAGTACAATACTGACCCTCATCTAATAACTTACAATTGCTGTTATGATGACATTTTGTCTCTGTTCTCACAAAGCATTCTTATTTGTCCCTCCCAAAATAAGCAGCCAATACCTGTAGTCTTATCTCTAACTGCTCCAATATCTGATTTTTCACCTGAGATGAATGAATGTCTGGGAAATCAGCAATGAGAAGTAAATTGTCCTAAATAAATTACAAAGGGTTTAGAATTACTGGTTGTATCCTCTGATTATATAACCTGTATAGATTCTATGTCTCTCACAAGAAAATCATGAGCTTCAGGAATAACTATTTTCTTGTATCAAACTGGCATTACATGTCTATAGCAGCACTATTCACAATAGCCAAAAGGTGAAAACAACGCAAATGTCCATGAACGGATGAATGTATAAACAAACAGTGGTACATCCTTACAATATGTTATTCAGCCACAAAAAGGAATGAAGTACCGATACATGTTACAACATGGATGAACCTCCAAAACATCACGGTAAGTGAAAGATGGCAGATACAAAAGGTCACATATTGTGATTCCATTTATATGAAGTATCCAGAATAGGTAAATCCAGGGCAACTAATCAGATTAGTGGTCTTCCACTAATGCTGCATGTAGGGAGCAGTAGGGAGTGACTGCTTAATGAGATCTCATGAAATGTTTTGGACCTAGTAGTGGTGATGGTTGCACAACACTGTGAATGTACTAGTGAGTTGTATGCTTCAAAATGGTTAAATTTAATGCTATGTGATTTCACCTCAATAAAAAATAATTTTAACAATAATTGGCACCATATCTCCAAAAAGCATTTTTGGCATCTGTATTTTCATTAGATTACCATAAGATGCACTGATATAAAACACGTATTTTTTTTAAACTTTTATTTTGAAGTAATTATAGGTAAATAGGAACCTCCAAAGTTGGTACAGGAAGGACTCATGTACCTTTCACTGCTTCTCCATTGGTTACAACTTACCAGTAATTATAATTTTAGTATAATATTTTAATCAGGAATTGGGCATTAGTACAATGTGCATATATATAGCTCTTTATCATTTTATCACATGTATAAAATCATACAACCACCATAATC